ATGTTGTAACACAAATTAAAAAAAGATACAGAGGTTGATATTGGGGTTCAAACTTCAAGTTGAATATCAGAAAAGCAAAGCAGCTGGCCACTATCTCTCAAGTCTAGCTCAGGCTGAAAGGGCTGATTCATACACCGGCTCTTCACCAAGTCTCAAACTGCTGCCTCTCCTTAGTGTGGCTGGAGAACAAATGCCTCTCTGAGACCTTGCTTCTGGCTTATACCCCTTCCCTAATGCTGGGATTAAAGGTGTGAGCTATAATTGAATAGATCTGGGAGGGCTTGAACTCATAGAAATCTCTCTACCTCTTTCTTAACCCTGAGTCCTAGGATTAAAGGTGTGTACCACTACCTCCTAACTTCTGGCTGCTGGGACTAAAGGTGTGTATCTGGCTTCTATAGTTTATGGCTGACTTTGCTTTTCTGAATCCTCAGTCAAGCTTTAATAATTCATAAATAATGTATCACTACAGAATGCAGTCTATAGAAAAGAATCTATCTGTACATCACTCTTACTCTCCTCGAACTTCTTGTAACAATGAGCCAAGATCACTGTCCTCAGCCACCGTTGTAGTCCTCTGGTTTCCACTCTCCACTAGTCTACCCACAAGAAATCTTCCAGCAGTGAGGGAACAAAATTATAAATAGGTGGTGACAAGGGGCCAGACACAGCTGTTGGCTTGGGAATTCTTTGGAACTTCAGGGAGAAATACATGCCTTCTAGCCAGAACCCTAAGACTATGTACTTTTTAAGTCAGTCCTCAGCTGGTGTGTCAACCTTCAGATCCCTTCACTACCTTCCTTTAATTCAAAGAATGCGTCATCTTCAGAATGCTCAGCTTCTGTACCCAACTCCCAGCCATGCCTGTGGATAGATGGCCGAGCTTGTCATCCTGCCCAATCCCAGCCATGAAACATGTGCCAGGAGCCACTTCCCCCAGAGAAGTGGTTCTCTATGAAGTCCCAATCTACACCACTATGATTGGATTTGAGGCCAACTCCATGAGATGGAGCCCAGGCCTGACACAGCTAGGGTGGCCAAGAACTGAGACTAGACAGGTTAAGGAGCTAGAGAAAAACCAAATACTATTGTTCTGCTAAAGGAACACTATCGCGGTTTAATAAGGATCAGGATAAACAATTAGGCCGAACAGATGTTTATTTAGGGAGAAATAACTCACAACATAGACAGGTGAACACCAACAAGTTAACAAGTTCCTGCTTTCAAGAATTCCTCCACATGTCCTCCTGTCCCCATGCAGCTCTCAAGAGAGCTCTCTCCCACCCTCCTCCGACCTAGTTCCCCAGGTCACTTCCGCCCCTGGCCCCACCCCCCAATGGGTGTGGTCAGTGCCGCAGAAGGAGACAAAGTGAATATCCCACTACAATTCCCCTTTTAGTCTAAAGAAAAGATTTAGGCTTTATACAAAACTATACAAAACAGTGAATAACAAGGGTGCTCTAAGAAAAGGAAAATCGAGAACAAAACGACCTACATATCTAGTCCTAGGATGAAGGCAAAATGGAGTTTACAACAGAGTTGTCCTAAGCTGGAAAACTTAGGTCTAGTACCTAATATATCCAACTAGAAAGAGAGAATAATAGTTGTGATAGTTTAATCTCCAACCTCATCAAGACCTGAGAAGGAAAATAACTATACTAGGGTAGACGGGAAGTATGGCTAGGCAACTTCCAAATGGTGTAGCGAGGAGAGAAACAGCAGGCTACCTGGACAGTCACCCAAGGTCTCACAGCAATGCTGGTACACCCAGTTTTGGCTAAGGCCAAGAGTACTTGACAGACCACAACAGCAGGGAAGTAGAATGGCTGTCTTACCCTGACTTGGCAAGGTCCAGCAGTCTTCTAAATTTGTCTCCTGCAAGCACATAGGACTGCATGTCCAAATCAGTGGTCAAGGTGGGGGCAATTCTTTGCCCAACAGGCCATTAGCTGAGGCGAGATTGAACTCCAGCAGGAGCAACAACAGTGTCCAACATATTTTCGGGAAAGTGCACGGTGCTGTCAGGAGCAACAGTGTCTCATGTCAACGGAGTACTAATATTAAAACATTTAAATGCCATGTTCTGCATGTCTATGAAGTGATTGAAGATTAAGATTCTATGTCTGACTAATCTCATAGGTAAAGGAAACATGAGTGAAGATAATCTGTACGACTCAGAAACTTAGCTAAAAAACTGAATGAAACTTCCCTGAGTAAGGCAGGGACAAATACCTAAACAATATAACTATGTACATATACATACATATAAATCCCTAAAATAGAGTTAGAGTAGAAATGTCTAGATAAGAGGTAGAATTACAAAGGGCAGCATGATAAATATCCTAAATTGTATCAATATACAAAACGTCTTGAATACAAGAAAAGTATACATACATAGACTATGGCAAGAATAAATGTGCATAAATTGTATCAATATATGAAATGTCTTGAACATAAGTAAAAGTATACATACATAAAATATGGTAAGAATAATGTTCATAAAACATCATAAGTAGAAAGATTTCACACAATATAACATAATATAATATAATATACAATTCTTCCAGGAAGGGAATATAAACTTAATTTTATATAGCTTACCACAAATAAGAATATATAACAATGTAAGCTGTACAATACTATTATCTCACTCTTACTCAATAATTCACAAGAAGACAGGCCAATCTACCTATATCACATCTAAACCATACTTTTCCCAACCATACCCTATTCCTGTCTAAATGATAAACCCAAGTCTAAGCATCACCTTCCATACTCAGCCCTAAGTAACTAAAACCAACCCAAAGAAGATGAATATTATCCCCAAACTCTAAGGGTAGGAAAGAGGTTACTTCCTGCTGAAATGGGATGATGATTGCTCCATGGGATCCTGTGGGAAGAAAATTTTTAGCAACCAAATTTCTCAACAGAACTGACTGTGACATATGTAGCTAGTCACTGTGTGACAGAAAATGCTTGACTGCTGTTCAATTTGAAACTCTGGCCAGGGTGTAATAAGAAGGTGCACCATTACAGCTAGCTAATCATGAGTTGTCTCAAACAAAACAGTCTTAAACCGGTTTTAGGGTGATGTTTGTAGTCCAGATGCATCAGGTTGAGTCAAGTGGAAATGACGACGTGGGGCCCCATCTTCTTTCTGGAAAGTTCAAAGATTGCTGTTAGGAATTGTTAGTATTCCTTGTGGAAAACTTAAACATTGATATTACAGTAAAATTTTTAAGTTTTTAAGGTATGCATTAGGAAAAGGCAACAATAAGCATTAAAATGTATATGAGAAAATTAGGATTTCATAGAGAAAATTGAGTATAAGCAAACAAGTCCCCAGATTTTGTTATCTTCTGCCTTACATCAATTGGCTTGTTGATTTAAGACAGAAACCATGAATTTAATCTTAACAACATGCTTGAATTTAAAGAAGGAAAGCCAATTCCAACTCCAAAGCCAGCATTGGTTTACATAAATTGGGACTATAGGAATACAAGATAGTAAAGAGAAATAGATTTCTGTATAGAAATAGTTTACTAGAATTAAATATTTTTACCATAAATCAGATTCCTCTTCATTAAGTGATTGTTTCTGGAGAGCTGTCTTCTCTTCTGTAGGTAACTACATGTTCAGTGTCTTTTGGCTGTTTGAAGATAGGTTTTCTCTGTTTTCCTGTAAGAACAAGAACATAACACTTCCCCTACCTTTGAGAGGTCTCTGCACATCTCATGGGACCTAATTTGTTGGATGACTTGTCATTTCTCTTCATTAAGATGTTTCTCTTGTTCAGCTCGGATCTTGATTAACTTAGATGGTATCCATAGTTTTTCTTCTCCTGTAGATACAAATGCAAAACCCCTACCCCAACGTAACACATATCCTGCTTTCCATTCTGAGGTCAGTACATCCTTGAAGTACACCGGCTGATTTAGTTCAGAATTTTTTCTATTGTTCAGTGTCTTTCTGTAGCTGTTTTTCCTTTTACATCAGCATTAAGAAAGTTTAATGTTAATAAAGCATTATGTAATCTGTGTTTGGGTGTCTTGGTTCCTCCTGCCTGTTTATGGAGCATTTCTTTTAAAGTACGATTGGATCTCTCAATCACTGCTTGTCCTGTAGGATTGTGTGGTATACCCGTTATGTTTTTTATGTTATAATATTCAAAAAACTGTTTCAATTTGCTGGAGACATATGCTGGACATTGTCAGTTTTTATTTGTGCAGGTATGCCCATAATGGCCATTACCTCTAATAGGTAATCAGCCTTTTTAGCGCTCAGAGCAGTAGCCCATTGAAACCCTGAAAATGTATCTATAGTATGATGCATGTATTTTAATTTTTCAAATTCTGCAAAGTGAAACACATCCATTTGCCATATTTCATTTCTATTTATACCTTTAGGGTTACTGCCTTTTGGTAAAGGAGTTTGGTTATAGAATGAACAAGTAGGACATTTTCTTACTATTTCCTTAGCTTGTTGCCAAGTGATAGGAAAATCCTTTCTTAAACCTTTGCTGTTCATATGGTGTTTCTTATGAAACTCGAGGCTTCTAGCATACTTCCTATTAATAACCAATCAATTTCATCATTGCTTTGTGCTAGAGGACCTGGCAGACCCGTATGGGATCTGATGTGTGTAATATATATAGGATGAGTCCTCTTTCTGATAGTATGTTGTAGCTGTATAAACAGTGAAGTTAATTCCTTATTGGCAGGAATAAATTCTGCAGTTTCAATGTGTAAGACGACTCTCTCTGCGTATTGAGAGTCAGTAACTATATTGAGGGGTTTTGTAAAATCCATAAGTACCATGAGAATGGCATACAATTCTGCCTTTTGTACAGAATTGTAAGGGCTTTGAACTACTTTACTTATTTTTCCTGATTTACATCCTGCCTTACCTGATTTGTTTGCATCAGTGTAGAATGTAGGAACTCCAGAAATAGGTGTTTTTCTTACAATGTGTGGAAGGATCCAAATCATTTTCTTAAGGGTTTCAGCTTCTCGGATTGTTGAACTTCTACCTGGAACAAAAACAGAGATTCCAACCTCAAGAAAAAGGGCTGAGCTTGATGGAGGCTACCCCAGAGAATGATAACACTTCATGTTCAAGACTGAAAAATGCCAAAGTACAAGATTTAAGAAGTTTAACTAACTTTTTTGGATCTTGCACTGAAACTTTTGTTCTGGCTGTCAATATTTTGGATAGATTCTTGGCTCTTATGAAGGTGAAGCCGAAGCATTTGCCTTGCATTGGAGTCTGCTGCTTTTTGTTGGGAGTTGGAATGGTGGAAGAAGAGTGCAACGCCCCACCCACTCATGATATGATCTGGATCAGTCAGTGTAAATGCACAGCTTCCGACATTGAACGCATGGAGAAGATAATCTCAGAGAAATTGCACTACGAGTTGGAAGCTACTACTGCCTTAAACTTTTTGCACTTATACCATGCAATTTTATTTTGTCATATTTCAGAAAGGAAGGAAACACTGAGCCTCCATAAGCTAGAAGCCCAACTGAAAGCTTGCAGCTGCCGGCTTGTCTTTTCAAAAGCAAAACCATCTGTATTAGCTCTGTGCCTTCTCAATTTGGAAGTAGAAACATTAAAATCTGTTGAATTGCTAGAAATCCTCCTTCTTGTAAAAAACATTTGAAGATCAGCTACTAGAAATTCTTTTATTGGAGGGAATTGGTTTCTAAATGCCTAGCAGAGTATTCTTTTCCTGAATGCTGCAAACCTGATCTGAAGAAGCTGGTTTGGATTGTCTCAAGGCACACAGCATAAAACCTGCACAACAGCTACGATAGTGTTCCAGAGCTGACCACCATCCCAGAGGGGGGTCAAGATGGAGAGTCTGAAGAAAAGAGAACCACCGTTTCTCCGCTCTCGGTAAGACCATGTGGAAATACATAGAAATGGGTTAATAATTAAGACAGAACTAGCTGATAAGAAACTAGTACCTGGCCAACAGCATTATATCAAATACAGAGTCTCTGTGTGTTATTTGGGGCTGGCGTGGAGGCAGGACAAGACCAGTCGGTGGACAAAAAAACCTTACTCCTTGCAGAACACTCCTTACAGAACACAGCAATAAAATGACTCCTAATGACATTCTGCTAAACTCATAGAGCAGTATCTCACTCAGCCATCACCAGAGAAGTTTCTTCCTGCAGTAGACAGGAATTAACACAGAGACCCACAACTGGACACTGAAGAGAGTAAGAGATTTGGAGCACTTGATCCTAACTGAAATGTTTTCAGCAAACCCTTCTTCCCAGGGCTCAGCAAATTATACAGAGGAGCAGGAAAGATGGTAAGAGCTAGAGGGGATGACTCCAAGGAAACAGTGCTCTTCAGGCACAATAAGATTGACATATGTATGAATTCACAGAGAACTGTGGCAACAAGCCCAGAGCTTATACAGGTTAAAGTGAGAGGGAGTTCCAGCACTAAGAGGGGGAAGTGGACACAGGCATCCACCCCCAACCAAGAACTATCTGCAAAAGAAAAGTTAGTTTTCTCCAGTGGAATTTCACCAAGTACATTAAGTTTCAGTATAGGCCCCATGCCCATTGATCAGCAAAAATCAAAATCAATGTTAATTTTGTAGACTTTTTGTCTCCTATTGCTTCATTTGGGCAATTTTTTTGTCTTCTTGGTCTTTTGTTTATATATTTTGGCTTCTACTACTTTTGTGATTTTGTTGGTGGGGTTGTGCTTATTTTAAGGGGTTTGGTTTTTTGTTTGTTTTTTAGAGAAAGAAAGAGCATGGAGTTATGTGAGTGGGAAGGTAGGAGGATCTGGAGCAGGTAGAGAGGGGAAGTGTAATCAGAAAATAATATATGAAAGAATTTTCTCAATATAAAAACAAATTGAACTCAGTGGGCCATTATTTTTAATGAAAAACTTTTAAAAAAGGACATGCACTTGAGACAGGGTAAGGGATGGATCTGAAAAACGTTAGGGAGAGTAGGGATATTATGATCTAAGTACATTGTAAGCATTATAAAATTTTCAAAGGCTTCAAATATATTTAAAAGTAAAGATGCATAAGATGCAATGGATTATTACTATAATTACAACACTAGTCAATCTAAGATGGTGTTTTACACTGAGGCTGAATCCAGGGTCCCAAGCATGCTAAGCATGAATTACACTGCTGAACTACACCACAGCCACTAGAATGCCTCTTGAGATAATTCTACAAAACAGAACATGATAAACTATAAAATAATTCGGTGTCTCCAAACAAACAAAAAGCAAAACAAAACAAGCAAACAAAACCCCAAACCATTCTGTGAAGTTCTGTCAGGAGAGACATAGACTACTGCATAACCAAGGTGCACCTCAGCAGTGCCCCACAGATACCAATCACTAGGGCCTTCAGCAGCTAGGTACTTTTTAAAAATGATTTTTAAAATTTAAATTAAAAGCAATCTTGTTTTACATGTCAATCCCAATTCCCTCTCCCTCCCCTCATCTTCTGCCCCCAACCAGGCCCCTATCCCATCCCCTTTCTGCTCCCCAGGGAGGGTGAGACCTTCCATGTGGGAACTTCAAAGTCTGTCATAACATTTGGAGCAGGGTCTAGGCCCTCCTTAATGTGTCCAGGCTGAGAAAGTATCCCTCTATGGGCTCCCAAAGTCCATTCGTATAGTAGGGATAAATACTGATCCACTACCAGAGGCCCCGTAGACTTCCAAGGCCTCCTAACTGACACCCACATTCAGGGGGTCTTGGTTGGTCCTATGTTTTCTAGCTATCAGTCTGGGATCCATGAGCTCCCCCTTGTTCAGGTCAGCTGTTTCTGTGGGTTTCTGCAACCTGGTCTTGACCCCTTTTCTCATCACTCCTCCCACTGTACAAATGGATTCCAGGAGATTGGCTCAGTGTTTAGCTGTGGGTGTCTGCTTCTGCTTCCATCAGCTACTGGATGAAGGCTCTAGGATGGCATATAAGGTAGTCATCAATCTCATTATCAGGGAAGGGCATTTAAAGTAGATTCTCCACTATTGCTTAGATTGTTAGTTTGGGTCACCTTGTAGATCTCTGGACATTTCCCTAGTGCCAGATTTCTCTTTAAACCTATAATGGCTCCCTCTATTATGGAATCTCTTTTCTTGCTCTTCTTTATTCTCCTCCTACCACACCCGACTCAATCTTCCTGCTCCCTCATGCCCTCCTCTCCCCTCCTCTTCTCCCCTTCTCTTTCTCTTAATTCCCTCTCCCATCCCTACCATGCTCCCAATTTGCTTGGGAGATCTTGTTCCTTTCCCCTTCTCTGGGGGACTCTGTATGTCTCTCTTAGGGTCTTTCTTGCTTCCTAACTTCTCTAGAGGTGTGGATTGTAGGTTGGTAATCATTTGCTCTATTCTAATATCCATGTATGAGTGAGTACATACCATGATTTTCTTTTTGTGACTGGGTTACGTCACTCAGGATGGTTTCTTCTAATTCCATCCATTTTCCTTAGAATTTAAAGATTCCATCCCCCCCCCAGCTGAGTAGTTCTCCATTCTCAATTGTGTAAATTACCATATTTTTTTTTATCCATTCTTCAGATAAGGGGCATCTAGGTTGCTTCCAGGTTCTGGCTATTACAAATAATGCTGCTATAAACATAACTAAACAGATGTCTTTGTTGCATAAGTGTGCATATTTTGGGTGTATGCCTTAGAGTGGAATTGATGGATCTTGAGGTAGACTGAGTCCCATTTTCCTGAGGAACCGACATACTGATTTCCAAAGTGGGAGTTGTACTCCCACCAATAGAGGAGTGTTCTTTTTTCTCCACATCCTCTCCAGCAACTAGGTTTTTGACTGTCAGAGAATCTCTGCTGGAAGGGATGAAAATGAATTTACTTTGAAGTTTGCAAAAAAACTGAATTCTGTTCCCAAACTGAGTTTTGACACATCTGGAACTAAATACAGTTCAACCAAACATCTCTGTGTTTATCTGTTTAAAAAAAGATCCGGTGCATACAGCATTCCTTTCCCCATGGCTCTGAGAAGTTTTACCAAAGACAAGAGCACACAAGGCAGGATGCAGACTTTCATCAGCCTGTGTTTAGCCAAGTAGTTCATCTTATCAGCTTCATATTGGATCTGAATAAAACACTGTCTCTACTTCAGCCACTAAAGATAATACAAACTCCACTGAATAGCTATTCTCTTTGTGGCCACCAGAGGGTCCCACAGCATTAACTAGACGACACACCCATTCCCAGAACAACACCCAGTTTCCAGCCAATAGAAGGAACTGGGAACCCAGCCCAAAAGGCTCCTACTTTTAAGGAGTCACCCAATGTTTTACAAGAGGTTTATGCCACTGGAGTTCGAAGGAGTAAAATTTCTGTGAGTCTGAACACCACCACACATTCCACTTTTACTAATTAACAGAGTAGCCATAGTTCAAGTAACTCTTTCCCGCTGGTGTGGTCCCCAGGGTTTCTGCCACTGTTTGTTTTAATGAAGGGAAAGCTTCTAGACTGGCAGTTGACAGCCACAAGGGCACGCTGTGGCTCGCAGTTCTTCCCTCAATGCCAAGTACTGGATTCTGACAAGCTGGCATTCCATCCCAGCCTAATTACTCAACTCAAGGTGCAGGATGTGTTTTCTCCTCCTTGGAAGAAAGTCATGGTAAGAACTGAGAAATCAGTTTTGCTGAGGACTAGAAGACAGTAGAAAATTCCATCTTCTTTTAGCCAGCTATTATTCCTGTTGGTGATAAAAGCAAACGCAAATGTTAGACTGATTTTCATTCTGGTTCTACATCCCCCCCACCCCCCACCCCCCACCCCCGCCACTGGCTTATTAACAAACTGGAAAAGGGGGCTGGAAAGATAGCTCAGTTGTTAAGAGTAGTAGTTACTTATTGTTCCAGAGTACCTGGTGTTGATTCCCAACAGCCACAGGGTGGCTCATACCCATCTGTAACTCCAATCCTAGGGATCCAAAGCCTTCTTATGGCCTCTGTGAGTACTGCATGAATGTGGTGCAGAGCTATACACATTACAGCACAGCACACACGCACACACACACACACACACACACACTATATATATATCTTTAAAACTTTTAAACATTTGTATGCACTTAATATAAGTTTTAAAAGTTTTTAAAGAGTGAAAATATCCAGGAAAATATTTTTAAAACAGTTAAAATATTTTAAAAAATTATTTCAAAATACTTATGAGGCGTGAATGACCCCTCCTTCAGAATGGCTGTACATAAATCACCTAACATAATCCCCATCATAACCTCATTATAAACCTCATTATAGCCCAGATTCCTTCGGGGTAGGAATTTGAAATCTAAGTCACAGGTACAGAAAAAGATGTAGCAGAAACTTTCCCACGGCATAATGCAATCACACCACGTAAGTGGGTTCAACAGAGTTCTGCCTGCCTGTCTCCCATGTTCCACCTGTTAGTAAAAGCCATATCTAACTTGAGTGGAGTACTTACTAAGTGCCAGGAACTCTGTTAAGTATTCACATGTGCTTCCTTACTTATATTCATAAACTCCTTGTTGATGAGGTGGGTGTCTGCTATCAAATCTCTTTCCATAAGAGAAAGCTGGGCCTTGGGAGGCTGGGTAACATATTCAAGAACTCATAGTTAGTGAAGGACAAAGAAAAATAGGATTCACTCCCAAGTTTATCTTAATCTGAGAGCCTGCCCTAGTTGGTAGTGGGTTCTTTCTTTCTTTCTTTTCTTTCTTTCTTTTTTTTTTTTTTTTTTTTTTGTGCCAGCAAAATATTTGAAAGATCCATGTAAACGCTGCCTTTGTAGGCTCACTCATGTCACCACTCCCTTTATTCAGGGTGCTTCAG